GGGAGGGAGGAACGTGGGGGTTTGGGGAGGGATTTCCACAGCGGGAGGTGGCGCAGGAGCCTGGAGCGCCTGGTTCGGGGGGTCGCAGGCCCGGAGGAGAGCTGGGAGGTGGGGGAGGGAGGAGATTGGGTACCTGTGCCATACAGGACAGAGCTCCTTCATCCCTTCAGGGCCCAGTGCTGCTCCTGGGCATCCACGTCTCTTCACATGGCTGGTGTCACGTTAATGTAGAGTAGATCCCGTAAGGATTTGTGTCACGCTGAATGCTGCATGCGCCCTGCCCTGATGCACTTGGAAGGGGCAGGGAAAGGGGGGTGCTTGGGATAACCCCTAAGAGCTGTGACAGAAGCCCAGAGCACGTATGCTCAAGTCCACCGAGGTGCCACGTCTCCAGCACCGCGCCTGCCCCGTGACACAGAGCTCTGGCTAAAGCTGTTTCTGTTTCCAGGTGGGAGCAGTGGGAAAGGAGATGTTCTTCGTCTCTCTCTTGGAAGCAGGATGAATCTCATGTCTATGGCGTCAGATCCCGAGTTGAAATGGATAACCCTCTGGGTCCGCATCAGGTGGGCGGCCGTGCTGGCGCTCCTCCTGGCCTCGCTGGTGATGCTGCTGCTCCCGCTGGCTGCTGTGGATGACCAGTGCCACGCCGTGCTCAAAGGACTCTCCTTCCTGAAGAGTAAACTGGGCGCGGGCTCCTCGGGGGTAACCAGATACACAGGACAAAGCACCGGGCTGAGCGTGACCTCCAATGGGCTGGAGCTGCTGGTGCCGAAAGGCAAAGCCTCCCCAGGTAAGTGTCCCCGGGCAGGCGCAGGGGAACAGCTGAGTCGCTGTTGGAGACCTGCCCACCACTACCTGATCTCTCCTGTACCCCATAATGGTCACAAACTACTCCCTGCCCAACTTAACGTCAGCTGTAAATGACCCAGAGGCAGCAGCCCGACTGCATCCCGTGGCCCTGTGCCGCAGAAGGGCGATGCGCTGGCCTTCTCTCAGCCTTCCTTTGTCTCAGAAGTTTTTCTTCATGCTTTCGGTACTAGTAAGTTCTGTTAAGGTAACTGGAATAGAGAGTGGTGTTTATTTAATACACAGTAACCTGGGATACACAGCCTTAATCCTGAAATAGTGGCTGTCGTAGAACATTAATTCAGAAAACATTCAAAGGAATCATTACAATTCCAGCCGTGTATCTTTGCTCACATGACAGCTGCTATTGGTGGGAAGATGTTTGATATAGTTCATTGAAAAAACAGATAGAAGCGCTGGTAGCAGCTGTGGGCTGTGCTGCTAGTGAGAGAACCGCCGTTATTGCCAAGAGAATGTATTTAGGACTCGGTCTCCTCCCATGCAAAGCAGCCTGGTGGCCAAAGCGAGTTTTGCCGGGTTGGCTACATGCCTGTGGCCAGCTTTAGCCGTGCTGCTCCCAGCTCCTGCCAGGAGCAGCTCTGCTGCTGTGTCCTCGGTCTGTAAACGTGGCATAAGCCTCTGTGCTTGGAGCCCAGCGAGGGCTGGAACACGAGTGCTCCGTTACAGTTCTTCCAGACGGGCTTTAATTCTTGTAGCAGTGAACAGCGACGGTCTCCAGAGGTTTTCAGCAAAACTCACTGCCCTGTTCTCTGTTACCATTGCGTTTCAGAAGTGAAGTTAGAAGCCAAAGCAGCTCTGAACCAAGCCCTCGAAATGAAGCGCCAAGGAAAGCGGGAGAAAGCTCACAAACTCTTTGTGTACGCCCTCAAAATGGACCCTGATTACGTGGATGCCCTGAATGAATTTGGGATCTTTTCTGAAGAGGAAAAAGACATCCTCCAAGCCGACTATTTGTACTCCAAAGCGCTAACCCTTTCTCCCTGCAACGAGAAGGCTCTGATCAATCGGGACCGGACGCTACCTTTAGTCGAAGAGATAGACCAGAGGTATTTCAGCATTATCGACAGCAAGGTTAAAAAAGTGATGGCGATCCCCAAAGGCAATTCTGCCCTGCGCCGCGTGATGGAGGAGTCCTATTACCACCACATCTACCACACGGTGGCCATTGAAGGCAACACTCTGACGCTGTCAGAAATCCGACACATCATCGAGACGAGGTACGCTGTTCCTGGAAAAAGCCTGGTGGAGCAGAACGAGGTGATCGGCATGCACGCGGCTCTGAAGTACGTCAACACCACGCTGGTATCGCGGATAGGCTCCGTAACCATCACTGACATCTTGGAGATACACCGCAGAGTGCTGGGCTACGCCGACCCGGTGGAGGCAGGGCGGTTCAGGGCTACTCAGGTGTTCGTAGGACATCACATCCCGCCCCATCCCCAGGACGTCGAGAAACAGATGCAGGAGTTCGTGCAGTGGATGAACTCGGAGGACGCCATGAGCTTGCACCCCGTGGAGTTCGCGGCGTTAGCCCACTACAAGCTGGTGTACATCCACCCCTTCGTGGATGGCAACGGGAGGACCTCGCGCCTGCTGATGAACCTCATCCTGATGCAGGCAGGCTACCCGCCCATCACCATCCGCAAGGAGCAGCGGGCCGAGTATTACCACGTCTTGGAAGTGGCCAACGAGGGTGACGTGAGGCCTTTCATCCGCTTCATTGCCAAGTGTACCGAGACCACCCTGGACATGCTGCTCATCGCCACCACGGAACACTCGGTGGGCTTACCCGAAGCGGATGGCAGCGCAGCTGGGTGCAAACAAACCATCCCCGTCAAGACTTGAGGGTTGGGGGTGTTCAGGAACCAATGAACGTGTGGGAGAACAGAAGG